CTGATTCTGTAATGTTCCAAGTAGAAATATTATAAGTATCAAGTCACTGTTTATCAATGAGTATATTTTAGAGTGGTCATTATTTGGAGGTAAAATTTCGGGTTAAAATTCACCCCCCCCCCGATGATTAGGATTCAATATGCCAAAAAATATTAAATGTAAAAGTTCATCAATTTTGGACCATATTTAGAGGTTGCTCATTGAGATTGAAGTTCTAGACTGCAGTGGCCTGGTATCATATGTACTAGGTGATATAAAACACATTTGTTACACAATATAAACTATTTGTTTAAAATAGGTTGTTATTTTATTGCATGTACAATAGTATAATTACATAATTATTTGATTTTGGTGCAGTTGGTCACTTTTGATGTTAGGAAAGTATCTTCTATGATCCTGCACAGCTTGAAAGATCTGGTCTTCTTTTCTTTGTTACAATGGCATTACACTCCTCAATAAGGGCAGTACTCCTGTCAGCATTGTTATTTACCACATCAAGTGTTGAACTGTCTGCAGTGCCTCCCTGTAGTACTCTACAAGCTCCCGTGACTCAGGGTCATAATCCAGAGATCCAGATGAAATTTTGAGGCACCTGAAGAAGGTTTTTGTGTTCCTTTTGATGAAATCTTCAGTTGACATGTCCTCACATTTCCTGTACTTTGGAGGTCCATCCATGACGTCCTTATTATATAGTGACTTTATCATTGCTTGTTTTGTCTCTATGTTTACTGCTGTATCAAAGAATACCAAACCAATGAAATCCTCATTCAGGTACCATAGATGTCCAGCAAATGTTTGACAGGCAGATTTTGAAAGAGCAATTTCATCTTTTTATACTAAATAAGACACTGTAGGAAGTTAAGATCATTGTGAGGAACTGAAAGGGAATCAGGAGCAGTAAACCATGTCCTAAGATGGACTCAAACAGCAAAGATGAAGATGTCACAGAGTCTTCTTCCCCACAGCCAGTGAGCTTATTAAACTGTCCCATAAACATTCAGGTCTTGAGGCCATATATTGCCTTGCCCACCCATCATTCATGATGCAGTACTACATTTGCTATAAATTGCACGTCATGAAGAAGGGATATAGCAAGTTCAAGAAGCTCTAGATAATTGTTTCGTGATTGGCTGACCTGAAGTTGTCTTGTACCAAACTCATTGGCACTGTCATTAACTTTCTCTGTGGCCTTTGCTACTTCACCATGGTCAAGAATGATTCTAGAAACCTGTATTCAGCAATACAAATGTCTAAGTGCATAAAAGCATAGTTAACAATATCTTAATGGAATTTTTG